CAGATCACCTTTATCTTGATGGAAACTTCGATCTGGGAAAAATAAATAGTACTGAAAGGGTCACAATTGCATAACGTGTTTTGATACAGTGAAAATCAGATTTCGTAATCTTTTTTAAATAAGAAGGTTAAATAAAACAAGAATTTCGTTTGCATCGAATGCAAGCGTTATCTTAGGAATTCGGAAACTGCTTAGTACTGTTTAAGTCATAATTTTGCTGAGGTTCAAAACGCATCGCTTTGGCAAGAAAGTAATTTCGGTTTGCACAAACTTAATAGCGTTTCGTTCGTTTAGTTATTCTTCTGTCAATCTTATAATTTTTTTTATTTTGAGATTTGGCAGCTGACACTTTTAGGTTGCTATTTCGTGGGGTTTTGTTTACAACTCTTAGTTTATGGTCAGTCTTAACATAAGATGCAAAAATAAACATTTTGGACATATTTTACTTTTTTATTTTCATAAAAGCAAGAAAGTGGCTGAGGCTCACAAAGAGCTATGCGAAGTCTATGACGTTCATTGATTAACAATACGCATGCGTCAAAAATGGTTTACAAAATTTCATTCTGGAGATTTTTCAGTTGAAGATGACCAACGTTCTGGACGACATTCTGAAGCTATTGATAAGAGAATTAAAGTCGCGATTGAATCGAATCATTATTTAAGTGTGAAGGGTTTGCAAAAAGGTTAAGGAGACTCAAACACCTTAAAACCCTTAAGATCTTCGAATATGTGACTTTTGCAAGAATTGGGATATTTGATTTTATTTTAAAAGCAATTACTTCCAACCTTTTACAGCTGATTACATAATATTTGAATACATATTTTGGGAACTAGTAAACCAGAAAGTTTGTGTTGCTACAAATATTTTTATAATTTAATCTACTTTGTGATAAAACTTTTTATGCGTTCACGTCATGTTTTCATCTTGGGCGCATGATATATATGATGATATTTTAAAAATAGATGAAAATACATATTTGAAATTCAACGAAATTCTTTATATGGGCGCTATCTTCTAACTGAACCAAAAATCTGATGAATATTTTAATATTAAAAAATTTTATGCACGAAAACACTACAGGTTTTTTTAATAAACTACATTTTATAAACTCAACTCCAAATAAAATAAAAATTTTAAATGAAATTCTTAGGATTTTTGGTTCACAGTAGTTTAAAAATATTATAAGAGCTATATGTTAAATATGGAATTAAAAAGTTATGTAACAGAATGTTTTAAACTGTGCGCGCAAGGTGGAAACAAGACGTGAACACAAGAAGAATTCTGTCACAAAACAGATTAAATTATAAACATATTTGTGGCAACAAAAACGTTCTGGTTACTAGTTCGCAAAGCAGCTATATTATGTAGTCAGCTGTAAAAAGTTGGAAGTAATTGCTTTTCAAAATAAATAAAATATCCCAATTCTTGCAACAGTTTTATATTCGAATATCTTAAGGGCTTTAAAGTGCATGAGTCCCCTTTCAAGTGTATCACAAACAACAATTGAAAATTACATAAATTATCTGAGACTCTTTAAGAAGCTCGATATTTGGGTTCCGCATGAATTGAAAGAAATTCACTTAACACAATGAATCAATATTTGAGAAAACGTAACGAAATCGATTCTTTTTTGAAACGAATGATCATTGGTGATGAAAAAAATGAATCTATAATATGTAGATTTCCTTTTTGACCACTTACCTGAATTTTTCCCGTTTCCAATGGGTTGCGGAAGAACATCTGATGCCCATTCCTTTCTATGTCATGCAGTGAGACTTATTCAATGTTTTCCTTCAGAAGTGTTCTCTCGGATGATAACTTTACTACTTTTGCTCAATAATTAAATTAATACTAACTAGCTTAATTTTTTCTTTCATCCATTCCTTCTTTCAGGGAGCCAGAAAAAATAGCTCTTTCCATGTAAGGGCTTTGGAAAATAAGAGATTCAATTTATTGCCATAGAAAGTGGCAACAGCCGCAATTTAGACAACGCAATCCCTATCATGTATATCAATGTACTACTACGAAAAGCTAGTGATACACTGACCTTTTGTGAAACAACACTATTCTGAACATCTAAAGAAAAATACACATACGATTTCCTGATATCCACAGTTTGAGGGCCATTCAATATTGCTATTCTCTAACTCTCAGTTTTCATTAAAATGCAACAGTAAAGCTTCACTTTTAAAACGGATAGTGTCAGAGAGCCTGTGAATTTTTATTATGGTACATTTTGAAATCACTAACATAGAGAGATACCCAGTATCAAGAGCAATACCGAAAGGACATTATGAGACGATATGCATCCAAAGATTTATACAAAAATGTTGTTGTCCATATATTTTAACCCATTTTCAGGTGGGTTACAGCCGAAAACATCGCGGCAAAAACATCGCGAACGAAAACGTCGCTGAGAAAACAACGCAAGGCGAAAACGTCGTGATACAAAACATCGTGGGAGAAAACATCGCAAAGAGAAAACATCGCAGTTCTAAAACATCGTGATACAAAATATCGTCGTCCAAAATAAAGCGGTTCAAAAATTTCACAGTTTAAAAACATCGTCGTCGAAAATATTGTGGTTAAAAAATAAAGTATCTTCAAATCATCGCATGACGATAACATCGTAGACATGCTTTTTTCAGGCTTTAATAACTGTTAATGGATATTTCCATAATGATTTGTGACCGAAAGATGGAAAGAAGGATAATTTTTACTTTCATATTTTTATTAGCTAATTAATTTTTGCTGACAAGGCAAGAAGGAAATTTAAGCATAGAAAATTAAGGCAACTGATAGCACTTGATAAAATTTTAAACTGACATAGTTAACTAACAAAGGTCATTAATAAATAACTTTTTATAAAGTTTTTACTGGTAGTTTTTCATTAAAAGTATAATATAAAAAAGTTTACAAAAAGGAAACTACGTAACTGCATGACCTTATCTATAAAAAATTGCTAATTATGAGATTATTTTCTTCACTTTTGTCAATCTAATACTCTTACAGCGAAACTTATTTCTTGTTCTGCTTCAGTTTATTCTTAAGTATTAAGTTTCCTTCTTACTTTTTCAGTAAAAATTTATTAAAAAATATGAAAGTAAAAATTATCTTTTTTTCCATCTCGCGCTCACAAATCTTTATGGGAATATCCATTTAGAATTATTTAAGCCTTAAAAAAGCAGGTCTGCGATGTTACCGTCCTGCGATGATTTGTCGATACTTTATTTTTTACTGCGATATTTTCGACGACGATGTTTTCAAACTGCGAAGTTTTTGAACCGCTTTATTTTCGACGACGATATTTTGTACCACGATGTTTTGTAGCACGACGTTTTCGTCTTGCGTTGTTTTCTCCGCGACGTTTCCGCCCGCGATGATTTTGCCGCGATGTTATCGGCGGACACCTTCAGGTGCAATCATTGAGATCACTGTAAAATTTGTCTGGTTCGTTTTAAGGCATATTATGAGGTATTTTGTATGTTCTTTTATGAATAAAATTATATTCGTATTCTGGTATTATAATTACATAAGTATAAAACCTTCCTCGTATTTTTTGTGCATTTCTAAGTTAATAGTATTACTATGTATTGAAAAACACATGCAATTTCTTTTGTAAAATTTAATGGGTTTGCGTTTACCTAACGTTAAGGTTATACAGAGTTTGTTAGCGCATTTTTTAGACAATTTTCAGAAATATTTTACCTAAATTCTTTGCGTTTTAGATGTTTTGTTTGATAACCGTTATTCTTGAATATCTTTTTGCAGTATAATTTCGAAGACAATAAAGCCGTTATTGCATCAAAAGAGGTATTTTATCCCATTCCTCTTGAACAGCTTTCCAAGTCCAAGGAGGTTGCAGGTCAACGTTTGGACAATCCGATTTTTAAAAATCGAAAAGCGGAAAAATGCGAGGGGAGGATACATTAGGAGATTTAGTAGGGATATGACTGAAGAGTGTGGCTTTGATACCCGTTCCTTGTTCAATTTTTACAGAAAATTAACAGTGGATTTTAACTTGTGGCCGCTTGATGCAGTTCTATTGGTTGATGGCAAACTGTGCATAAAGAGAAGGCATTTTATATTTGGTATAAAACTGGGTATAAAATTGTGTTCTTGATAATACGCGGAGTTGACCTTAACAGCTTTTTATTCATTTTCTTTATTTTTAATTTGTCGTTATATGAAAAACAGCAACAATCCTGAATCTCTTTGAAAAGCTTTCTTTAGATTCTTTCAACCCTATTTTAAGACTTTTTTCTCCTCTTTGATCATAATAAATAGATCTCTTTTTATTACAGTCATTTAAATATACCCAAGATTCTTTTATTATGGCAACGTTTCCATTTTGTTCCAGATAAATGTTTCTTATAAAGAATTCTGCAGCGAGTGTTGCATTCGGCAATATGTCGTGGAGAAAGACTATGCCCATTATGCATTTTTTTCTTTTTTTAAGTTTCAGATCACCCTTAAATACAGTGTTTATAGCTGAAACTGAGGATTTTAATGATTTTGTAGATGTCCTTTGACACGGAAGATTTTTTTTTAAACATTAAAGATCCTACTTTTGCAAGATACGGAACATTCCGTTTTAACTTGGATATATATTTGCAACAGTTTTTCCACTTGAAGCCAAACTTTGACGTATTTTACTTTTTTCTTGTTGAGAATATTACGTATCGTAGCTTTAGTTGTCCAAACACGACAGTTTTCACAGTGTTTTTCAATTAGTAGTTACGAGTAAGTTTCCTTGTAAAGAGTGAAAACGCAGCCTTCCATCCATTGCTTCTTTCGAAGCGCCATTTTGCATAAAACAAAACTGTGAAGTAGCGGATGATAATTTATACATTCTAAAAAAAAATAGCTGAAGTTAAAAAGAATTCCTAGCAGATGATTGTTATTTTCATAGCAAAGCAAAATCGTCTAAAAATGCATGAACTCTGTAGAACATACTGAAACTGTGAACAATATTTTGTTTTTGTTTATTTGTTTACAGCTGTACAGTGTATCTATCATAGTGGAATAATCCCTGATCCGGAAGACTGCAGAAAATATATTCTCTGCCAAGATGGCATTGGATATGTAATTCCCTGCCCTCCTGGTCAAGCATATGTAAGTGGAAATAACTGCACTGAAGCAAAATATTGCGATCGGTTTGAAAAGGCAACTTTCACTGCAAGTAAGTTCCACTTGAAATTCAATACTCGAGCACTGAATTACTAAGGAAATATCGTTTAAAAACCATTTCCGGATCCTTATTTCCAAATAATTATTCTTTAGTGGAAAAACTCAATTGCATTTAAAATATCAGTAAAAATGATATTCTTCTTAAAGTATACATTTAAGCGGCTTTTATTTTCTCAATCGTTCTTCATAGGCATACACTTCAAATTTCAAAACAGGTTTGAATAAGTAAAATATTCCTGTTATGGTGTTTTCAAATTATAAAAATCAGTTCTGTAAAAGTTACGAAAACATTTTTATGTTCTCTCAGTCCCTATAGTTATACTTGATAAAAGTTTATACTCAATCTATAACAAAAAATCTGAAAGTTTTCAGATTTTTACATTACGTCCAAAAGAACTTTGTATGTTACCTTTATTTATTAAATATCATGTTCTTCGCACTTAAAATATAAAATTCGATTCAGCAGCAAGATTCAAAAATAATTTTAAAAGGAGCCTATCTTTAGGATTTCCGATACACAGTCTCACGCCCTGGAGATAAAAATGTTTTCTTTTTCTCTTACAGTGTTGCCATTGTTCCCTTTCAAACGGTAGAGTTTGTTAATAAAAAATTCTTTAAAGTGTTACAAAATATAAAATCGATATTAAAATACATTCAGAATTCCAAATTAGGGCTTCTAAATGCCCATATTTGGTGGAGGATTGCGTTTACGCCTTTGAATAAAAAAAAAAAAAATAAAAATAAAAAAATAAAAAAAAACTGAAAGGTTTCAGATTTTAAATTACGTCTAAAGGGGCGTTTTTTTTTAACGCTTTGTGTGTTACCTTTATTTATTAAATATCATGTTCTTTGCACTTAAACCACAAAATTCAGTTCAATAGCAATGTCGCAAAATAATTTTAAAATGAACCTATCTTTAGAATTTCCGATACACAGTTCCGCGCGCTACAGATAAAAAGGTTCCCCACCCCCGTAGAGTGTTGCCATGGCTCGCTTTTAAATCCTTGAGTTTGTTAATCAAAAATTGGTTTAAGTGTTACAAAATATGAAATCGATAATAAAACAAATTCCAAATTTCTAATTTGGTCTTCCACATGCCCATATTCGTAGGAGGGTTACGTCATTCAAATTTCGATGGCTCTAGGTACCGTTGTTTTATCACATTTCGAGAAACATACATGCATTCATGCAGATTCTTCATTATTTAACTTATTTAAATATAATACAGGGCTCTAATATTTGGTGGCAACAATTTGAAAAGTCAATCAACGCTTATGAAGAATCAACGCAAGATGCCAAAACGAAATTAATAGTCCTTCTGGGCAGATTTCCCCTTTGGACTAAAAAGCACAGCTAATAGCTAATAGCTAAATAATTTAATTTCTTTAAATGTAATACAGGGCAACATATTATATATATAATATTTGGTGGCAACAATTTTAAAAGTGATTTGCCGTTTATAGTTAATCGAAGCAAAATGCCAAAACGAAATTAAGAGCGCTTTTTGAGCAAATTGCCCCTTTGGGCTAAAAATGGACTTCTATGCGAAAAACAATTGGCAGTGGTATTTACTTTCAGAATCCGAAATCATGTTCAGGAGTCATACGCAAACTCAAAAGTGAAATGTTTTCATTCATACGCGAAGGAAAATGAAATATAATTTTATAAAAAGATTTCTGTTGTTAATAGAACTGATGCTTAACTTGTTGACTCTTGACTTGTTAATTTACCAGCACTTTTATACAAACTCTCGTTAACTATACTGGTCAATATAATCTACTTTAAAATTTTTTTTTGAAAATTTGTTAACTCTTGCATGAGAATATTAATATCATATTTTTAGCAGATGAAAACTTGTGTGAAAACTGTTTTCGGTTCACCATACGTAATAAAATTATATATCACATATAACTAAACTATAAAAGAATATCAGAGTTTCACCAAAGGGGAAAAATGTTAACTTCGAATTATTCTGATCTATTTTACAACTGACCTTCCTAGGCGTGCTAAAAAGGATGACAATACGCTGATGTTTTGAAATTAAATTTCATGAAGGAGAACATTTTGATAATTACTCAGAGCTAAGAAACCTTGAACTTTTTTGCGCCTAAACTAAAATACTGAGGTATAATAAGGTAAGTCATTGTCTCCAAGATCTTCAATAAACTCGTCGAATTGTCTATGACTGTGCTTAATTGATCTTATATAATCTATACTATTAAAATCCGTGCGAGTTTGTCTATTTGTTTGTTTGTGGCATTATTTGCTCCAGAACGGCGGGAAGTTGAGTTTCGAGTAGCGTACTTTCAGTGTTCCAAAAATTCGTGGGAAAACATTCCGATTATTCCCATCTTCGTACGACTCTAATCAGTGGAGATATTAATAAAAAAATTTAAAAAATCTGAAAGGTTTTAGATTTTAAATTACGTCCAAAGGGCGTTTTTTAACATTTTGTCTGTTCCATTTATTTATTAAATATCACGTTCTTGGCACTTAAACCATAAAATTCAGTTCAAGAGCAATATCGCAAAATAGTTTTAAATTGAGCATATCTTTAGAATTTCCGATATAGAGTCTCACGCGCTGGAGATAAAAATGTTTTTTCTGTACAACGTTGCCATGGCTCGCTTTTAAATCCTTGAGTTTGTTAATCAAAATTGCGTTAAAGTTTTACAAAATATGAAATCGATCATAAAACAAATTCCAAATTTCAAATTTGGGCTTCCACATGCACCTGTTCGCAGGAGGATTACGCCATTCAAAATTCGATGGCTCTATGTGCCGTTGTTTTATAACAATGCGAGAAATATACAAACATTTATGCATATTTTTCATTATTTAATTTCTTCAAATCTAATGCAGGACTCTAACAGTTGGTAGCAACAGTTTGAAAAGTGAAACGGACATTTATAGTGAAGCAACGTAAAATCGCAAAACAAAAACACTAGTCTCATGAAGCGCCCTTTGAACTAAAAACTCTGGAAACGCTAATTTTTGCCCTCAGGTTTCGAGTAGCAACAGTCTGGCAAGCTGGAGATAAAAAATCTGCTTTATTTCGAAAAGTGTTGCCACTGCTCACTTTGTAATCATAGAGTTTGTTAATAAGAAATTTCTAAGTTTTACAAAATATGAAATGAAATCAAAATATCATTGCTAAACATTAAAAATTAATATAAATTAATATATTATTATTATTATATCAGGTCATACTCTGACGTTGAAGAAAGCACGTGATTTCATATGACATCATTATATGACGAAAATATGTTGTTAATGTCAACTTTTTAATCCTCTAAGCGGCAAGGCCGTATATATACGGCCTAGAATATTTTTTGTGATATCTGTAAGAACGTATATATAAATGCATATTAAAATATATCAAAGAAATTAAGGCAATCTATCAAAAGAAAACAAATCCAGGTATGAAATATCAGGAGAGTTTTCACATTAAAATAAAAAAAAATAAAATAAAAAAAAAATGCTCTCTTAGTAATTTTGGAAAATTTGTGCTTTCTTAGCGAAAACCCTGACCGCTCAGAGGGTTTTAAATCAAAAGCAGTTGTTAGCAACTTTTTTGTTTCAGATTAAGATAACTGAGACGGTATGCTATTGCCGGGTTAAATCTTTTATAGATATTGAGAAAACGTTGTTACATTGCATTGAAATTAAATTATGACGTCATACGTATACTTATTATTCTGAAATGTCCTAAATTTTTGTTTTCCGGTTTGGCTCCCCCCCCCCCAAAAAAATCAGGAATTGATTGTTGCTTAGAAGGAATGAACTGATTTCATTCATTTTTTTTATGCACTCTCTTTTCAGGTGTATAAAGAATTCATAAATTTTGCTTTGGTTGCAGCTATCAACTTTGTATACAGTACTTTAAATTAATAGTTCACTTTATTATCAGTTTTTCAGTACATAGAAGTTATAAATATTGCTTTGGCCGTAATCTACTTATCTGACAGGCTTGCCCGCTAGTGAACATGTAAAGTTTGACTTGCTTTGGTAGTATAAACTAGTATCAAATTTCTAACAGATGGTAAGCGAATTATCGCTATGTCTGGACAGAATCAGAAAGTTTTAAAACAAATCTTATTAAATCAGAACTTTGAACATAAATGCACGACTCGCGTTTACAAATTCCACCGCCCACTTGTGGCGAAATGACTCATAGAATAGTAAATTCAAATTCATATTAAATAAACTAGTCGTCCAACTCTGTACAATTCAAATTAACGCGAAGTTGGCTCGAAACGTGTATCGAAATATCGGCAAATATAATGCAAACTCGAATAGAACAATCTTATCTGAACTAGCTAACCTACTAACGTGACCACAAGGGACAGAACACGCTCTGAATTAACTCCCGAAACCTACCTTTAAATGGTAATTTTTTCTCTCTCATTTACATTCTGGCAGGGAAACAGAAACGAAAAGTGACAGTAAAGATCTCAAACATAAAATAACTGGTTACTAAAAAATAATATTAATAACTTCACAAACAGATGACATAATTGACTTTAAAACTTCTTTCATATCGAGGTATTTCCCACGCAAAAACTGTTGAAGGATGCAATGTAAGATTAATGGCTTTGAAGCATCGTCATTTTGATGGTGAGTGGCCTTTGATGCGAAGGCAAAAACACCTTTACTTTTCTACGCATATTTTTGCCACCATCAGTAGTGATACATTTGAGTTTTTTCCATCGAAGATTCTTTTTATGAACAGCATTTTCAACTCCTTTAAAAATAATCTTCTCCAGTAGTAGTGCTGTGAATGCTAGGAACTTGAAGAAGCTCTTCGTGCACTTCGTAATTTTTATCTATCTCTCGGATAAAAAGTTAGCAATATCTGAAACATCAATTGACTCACGAAAACCCAAAGTGAACAATACTAAGTGTCGACTTTTGTAACACAAGTGAGTTTATATATTTTCTGCGATAGCATTTACTCTTCGAGGCGCAGTGTTTGCTGACAAACTGATGTTTTTATGCAGATGAACTTTTTCTGAGCACATTTTTTTCGTTGTTGTAGTTCGTGTTTTCCTTGATTAATGGCGCTATCAGTAAAAATGTTTTCCAATGTTTCGCTATTGAATGAACCACGCGGAAACCAGCAAAGGTTGCTGCCTCTTGCTCAGCATTTCCTTTTTTAAACAATTGTTGAGATTTCACTCCGAGTTTCAGATATTCATATTTTCCTAATAGTAGACTATCTGTTCATTTGTAGTACTTAGAATATTTAGTCTCATAGTGAAGTTTTATATTGTATTCTTTGAGGACTGGCATTATTTCATTGTAAATTATACACACTGCCTTATTACTTGTCTCAGTCACGAAATATTCATATCCCTATTGTTCTTTAAATATTCTGCACTTACTATCTAGCCTTCCTTTTTCTTCTACATTTATGCAAATCCACACCGAAAGCACTTAAACTTCGAATCAAAACAATGCATTTGTTGCTCCGAGTTAAAAATAAATGCGTAATTGTCCAACTCTCAGTTGTCGCCCGTAGCTATACCATGTGTACTCAAAACATATTCGAAAACAATCACACACTTATTTATGTGAGGAAAAAATTCTTTATCATTTATTATCTCAAAATTAGTGGTTTCCAAATTATTTTTTATATGACACCCCCCCCAGGAAATATATGGTCAGCATCTGCACTTTTTACGACTGTATTTACAAATTTTTCAAAGCTCGCACGTTGCCAGTTGTCTGAAAAGGGATTCTCGACCTTTCTCTCAAGAACACAGTGGCCACTCTTAAAATTCCTGAAAAAGATCCAGGCTGGGAATTTATGTTTTAAATTACGACTTAAAATCTCAACTTTTATCGAAATCTAATCTACAACAAATATTAATTACAGGTAAAGGACTGAAAGAAGGGGACATGAAAGTAAAGGATCTTGATGTCTGTCTGGAACCTCCAAGCATCGGATCCTGTAAAAACAATCTGCGGAGGCACTATTTTGATATAAACACTTTCGAATGCCGAGAGTTCGTCTACAGTGGATGTGAAGGCAACAAAAATAATTTCGAAAGCAAGAGAGAATGCCAACTGAGATGTGACCCCAGAATGGGTCCTGACGAAGGTAAGTTTGTATCATTAAAAAGCTTGTACGCCTATAACACATCTGAAAGCAGCATGCAGAAATGAACTTTCTGCTTAACAACCATTCAGAATAGTGAAAATGGCATGTTTAATTGAAGACACATTTAGAGCAAAGTTTTGGCAGCTGACTTCAGTTTAATTTTGTATTTCGAGTGTTGTCAACAAAATCACTTCTAAGGTTAAAAAAAAGTTTATTTTTTAATTATTTTTTATATTATCATCTATGCGTATTCTAAACACCCATTTACTAAGCAAGATTATCGAGAAACTTTGAGATTATGCCTTGACTTGCTTAACAGCAACTCTTCACTCCTACGTTGTGGCCATTGTACGAGGTGTGACACAAAGAGACTAAGTGTGTTGATTGAAAGCAGTGTGGAGTTGGCAACAACTGTTTTGGTGAAATCATGCCACATATCTCCTCTATCCATGCGGTCAGTTGCGACTTAACTGGCCACGCCAGTTGGGAGCATGGTGTAGGAAGTTACCTCCATGGTGGGGAGTGTTGCGTCATTGAGTCAACACGTGCAACCGCATTTTTCCGCGAAAGTGTCTAATGTAAAAACCGAACAACCAATCAACATCAAGTTTCTCGTGAAACATAAGAAATCAGCCACGAGGAAACATTTCAAATGTTAACCGTGGCTTATGGAGATGAAACTTTGTCTCATGCACGTGTGTTAGAATGACGTAAGCGGTTTTCAGGGGGAAGAGACAGTGTAGATGATAATAAACGTGCCGAGCGCTCGTTTTAGGGGGAAGCGGCAGTGTAGAAGATGAAGAACGTGCTGGGCGCCCGTTCATCAGGATTGAATGGGTTCCCCAGTGGTTAAACTGTTAATTAATACTACTACATTGAAGTACTAAAAAGACTTGGTGAAAAAACTTAGGAAAGAAAAGACCACAGTTGTGGAGTGAGGATGGTTGTTGCACCAGCTGACACAGTCGTATCTATCAAGCAGTTTCTGACCAGCAAAAGCATAACTGTGATTGGGCATCCTCCTTATTCACCTGATTGGGTTCCATGCGACATTTTTATTTCCTAAAGTTACATCTTACTTTATGGGACCCCATTTTACTCAGCTGAAGAGGTTCAGACAAAAATGGAGAATCTCCTGACGGGCCTTCCAAAAACCTCGTTCCAGATCTGTTACCAGCAGTGGCAGCATCGAATGTACAAGTGCGTGAATGCTGAAGGAAACTACTTTGAAGGTGATAATATCACAAAGAACTGATTCTGCAAGTACAATGATTTATTAGACCAGTCTCGTTTTTTTTTTTTGTGTCACACCTTGTATATCTGAAGATGAAATATAGCGATATTGGAGACAGGTATATTAGGATTTGGAGTTGCATATCATTAATTTACAACTTTCAGTTATAGGAACCCAATAACACGACAACTTTGGAAATTCCAACGATAGTGTGAGGTTTAACACGTCTTGTGAGCTTTATTTTAAAATTTATTATGAGAGAACATAGAAAATTAAAACAAGTTTGTGTTTCTTTCAAGCATTTGATAGGTTCTTAAAGAAAAACAAACACACATCATAATTATTTGCCTTAACTATTCTTTATTATAACGAGGCAGACATTGAAGACATTTCTTCAACCGTGGTATCAATTAAGACACAATAACACGCCGAATAAATACTAATTCAGAAGTCAAACAACAAAAATCAGCGTTAATTTACAAAATTTTCACAGGACTAGTTTCGATGGTTTTACCGAACCATCATCTTCAGCTGCAAAACCGCAAATGAACAAGATAGGAAATAATGATTAGATAAGATAAGAAAGCCTGGACAAGAATAAGCAAGTGGCGCCATCTGTTGGCGAAACCAGAACTAAAACATAATTTCTCTAAAAGCCGAAGGCAAATTTGGATTGGAATTAGGATCGTTAACTAGAACAGAAAGATTTTTATGAATGTGAAATGCCTCTAGAAAATCCAGTTCTCCAATGGAAGATGTTTTTTGAATAATTTTGGCAGCAGAAAAATTGAAAGTGTGATTTTCGGACCAACAATGTTGAGCAACAGAAGACTTCTGTGTTTCCTTTTTTCTAACATATGCCTCATGTTCTTTGACGCGAAATTTTAAGGCTCTCTTAGTTTGGCCAATGTAAAATTAAACCACACTGGCAAGGAATCCTATAAATACCCCAGGAATTCATATCCGGAATGGGGTCCTTGAGTATAGAAGTTGGCATTTTATTGATGGGAGAATAAACAACCCGAAAGTTAAATTTCTGCAAAATATGTGCAACTTTATAGCTAATTGATGGAAAGAAGGGAATGACAACAGAATTTTTATAATCTCCTAAAATAAGAGTGTGGCTTTTAGTGTGTGTTGAGATGAAAATTTTTTAACTGCTTGATTAATAATGTTGGGTGAAAAGCCCCTGTCAATAGCTATTGCTTTTAAATAATTTAGTTCTTCATCAAGGGCTAGTTTGGAGGAGCAAACTTGAAGAGCACGGAAAACATAGGAATAAAATGAAGCTAACTTTTGTTTAGTCGGATGACATGATTTAAAGTGTGGTGGAAGGCAAAACCGATGAAGGTTTACGGTAAACTGTAGTACTGAAGTTGGATGTGTTACGTGTGACCAGAATGTATGTGTTACGTGCGACGAGAAACGGAAGAGAATTCCAAGTCTCAAGTTCAAATGTAAACTGAATAGCAGGATCAATGGAATTGATTGTTGAAAGAACTTTATTTAAATCACCTTTATTACCTTCAAAACAGGGTAAAAGTATCGTCTACGTAGCGGAACGATACCTGGAAGTTTAAAGTTTAAAACAATTTTGATTCATAATAATGCATGTAGATAGCCAGGATGGGACTGAGGGGGCTTCCCATGGCTAATCCTTCAGTTTGCTTGTAATATTTATTTTGGAAAACAAAATGTGTTTGTTTCAAACAGAGTGAGTGAGTGAGAGAAATTAGCTCATCAATTTCGATGCAAGAGAAATGAAATTCGCGAAGTGTGGTTTCTAGACATCTTAATGCACCCTCCACTGGGACATTGGTGAATAATGATTTTACATCAAAGTAATTTCTAAACCATGAGTAAATTACTAGGAGAAATGTTTTTAACCTTTTTTACAAACTCTATTGAATTTTTTATGGTGTAAATGTTATTGTCTAATAGAGTGGAAAATCTAGAAACTAAATATTTAGCTAATGGATACGAGGCAGTACCTAAATTTGATACAATAGGGCGGAAAGGAATACCACTTTTATGAATTTTGGGAAGAGCATATAATCTGGCACAATTCGCAACAGATGGGATAAGCCCATCTGTTGCGAACATCTGTTGCCACTTTAAAAGAGGAAACAAATTAAAGCCTTTTTAATAATGCAAGAGAATTAGAAATCTAAATAAATGCATAAGTTGTAAAGATATATATTTCCAGAGACAATATATTCTATTTTTTTTCCAGAGGAAAAGCCTCGCTCTGACAACATCTGCGTTACAGATGGAATATTTCCAAACGAGAATGACTGCGGAAGCTACAATCAGTGCGCGAATGGACAATTATACACAATGAAATGCCCAGAGGGTCTTCATTTCAGCGCAGAACTTAAGAGATGCGAATACCCGTGCACTGCTGGATGTAGCCCCCTTTATCTTTTCGAAGGTATATGAAATTCTACGGTATCGAAGTGTTTTATTGTAAATGTTACTCATTTACGACTTGTTAAAAAGATTGAGGTAGCATTGGAAAACGTGTGAGTAATATGAAAAGCTTCACACTGACATATTATTTTCTACATTTAATGCTAGGGAATATATACCATATCTGTAAAAGCACTTATAACGGCAATAAAACGTTCGATTTTAATAAACGGCAGTTTTTTTTTACTTTATATTTATGTATTTGCTTTTGTTCCTGAAAATTTGAACGTAATAAGGGGCTGACTTTGTTAAACCACTTAGTTTAATAAGCAGAGGGCACTCTATTTGATAATCTTGCATTGCTGCAACACTCAGACTATTACATACCTCCACAATAAAATGGCTTCCACTCCTGGCGTTAGTAGTGGCCATTGCCGTAGGCAAATGTCCGCCATTGGGACAAAATTATATTGTTATGAAATGTCCAGACGCGGTAAGATAGCTTTCCCGCAAAGCAGATTTAGGGTTGCTAGAAAATGACAAAGGAAGGCAGGGTTGCCATATTTTGCGAGAAATCGCCCATTTGGCGAAATTTCGCGTCAAAACTGGCGATATAACAGACGGTTGGAGAGCCTTCTGGAACGAATTAATACCAGTTTAACTCAGAATGTTCTTAAACGCAAGACAAAAGCTATATAACACCTGTTAGTACGCGAAGTGCTTAGTCGATCGAGCTAATAGTCAGTCAGTGAGTGCATAGTCGAGTCAGTTAAGAGTCAGTGTCTCGTAGACTAGTGCCGAGTTGTTTGTCCAGTGCATCGAGAGAGTCTCTTAGTTAGCGCATGGTTGAGTTTTATCTTAGAATGCGTTAGCTCCGAGAACGACTATCTTAGAATGCGTTAGCTCGGGAGCTGTACTCTAGTGTATCATCGAGTCGTGGAGAGTCTCGAGAGTACGTAGAGTTCCGAGAAAGACCGAGCAGAGTCGGGAACTGTGCTCTGGTGTTTTGTCGTGAAGCTGTCTTCACCGTTATAGCCTGATAGTCTGAAGTCTGAGTCGTTGATTGTTTCAGCGTGTTTATAGTAGTTATTCGACGACTGTAAACATGATATTGGAGCTTTCTTGAATAATACTGGCTAATAAATTGTGTTTCGATACTTCATGAAGTTATTCACTCCAAATCCACGAACCCTAACGTAAGTGAAATAAAGCATAACAATATATTTTGAATTGTGCTGATACGTCTAATTTTTCATAGTAGAAAAAATTAAAAAATCTAACATAGATTTCTCGTGCCTTTATTTTATTTTTCACTTATAATAACGGATGTCCGCTTTAGAACACTATACAATATCTTAATAGCAAACTGAAGTACTTTTAAAATGCTGTTTATTCAATTTACTTTCGATACAAGTTAATGACTATACAACAAATACTATAGTTACAAAATATACTTCGATAGTTTTTCTTATAGTTTCTATGCAGTTTTTATTATACCATCTAAATTTAAAAATTGCTCTAAGCTTTATTTTCAATTCAATGAGCAGAGAATTTCTATCTCGTCCTCTGCGATATAGAGGTAGTACACTTTTATTAATGAAAAAGTAATGGGATTTTAATAGCAATTATTTATTAATTTCCTAAATATTTGTCTATGGTTTTCTTTTGTATCTAAGATGATTATGATTGATAAACTAAAAAGCAGATGATTTCTTTAATTAAATGTTTGTTCTCTATTTCAGTTTGCAATCCACAAGCAGGGCAGACGGAGGGTAAGTGAGACTTTTTTTTTTTTAGCGAGCAAAACACTGGCTGAAACATTCGATTAAGTGGAAGTTGAAAAATCTATCTGTTTACAATTTGCATATGTATGGTTAGATTAGGTTAGGTTATTTAATTACGGCAAAGCCTCGAGGGCAATCTGCCTAAGGGGAGGGATGCCTTCGTGGAGGATTTTCTAAGGAAAACTGGCTCGTATACACGTTACACATGGGAAAAACCACGAAAACACCCATGCAGCCAGCCCGTTCGCGGGATTCGAACCTCGGACCGAACTACCAGTGTTCAGAGACTTTACCGCTCGGCCGCTGGTGGGCCTAGGCATATTTATGCACTATTAGTTAATGAAGATTTTAAAGAGGATTAATGAGTTAAAAATTAGCAAATTTAGGCAGACGTTCGTTTAAGAAAGGACTGCATTTTCAAAGATCTAGACACGGATCCGTCATCTGCGCTACTTGCTTCATAAGAAATAATAAATGTTAGCAGTGAGTAGGAAGACTTATGTGGCAAAACACAATTAAAAATTTAAAAAAAAATAAGCAGCAATTTGTTGACGAAAATAAAAATTAAAGGCATAAAAATTTTATATACCGTGTGACATTTGAAAAGTCCGTTAACATTTGAAAATTCAATATTACACTGAATAATGTAGGTAGAGAGGATGGCGTTTCATATGACAACAAAAGCAATAATTAGCATAGCAAAAGATTGTTAACAAAGTCTATGTTCTTTATAACAAATGTTCAGCACGTCAAGCCGTAATTCATCAGTACCTGTAGTCGAGGGACAATGTTGTGAACAGCACCGTATAGCGTATCTGTAGGTATGGTGAGAAATTGCCATTGGATGTTGTCTTTTAGTATCCGTAATGAGGTCGGATGATCCCGATGGACCTGCGATTTCAAGTAACCCCACAGCCAATAATCACACGGATTGAGATATGGAGGCTTGAGATGCCAAGCATGACGGATGTGGTGGCTCAGTTAGAGATCCTCCCCAAACGATAGGTGCAAGAGATATTTCACAAGTGTAGCAATATGGGTGGAGAGCCATCCTGCAATAAAAGTCAAACTTTCCAATAGGTAAGAGAGATACAATAACACACCAAACAAGTATTAATTTAGAAGTCAAACAACAAAAATCAGTGTTATGTTTTCAAATTTTCACAGGACTACTTTCGATGGTTTTACCAAACCATCATCCTCAGCTGCAAAAGCGCAAATGAAGGAGATAAGATATAGTGATTAGATAAGATAAGAAAGACTGGACAAGACTAAGTTAAGCTACCGACGCCATCTGTTGATGAAACGAGAATTAAAACATAATTTCCTTAAAGGCTGAAGGCAAAGATAGATTGAAATTAGGGTCGTTAAGTAAAACAGAAAGATTTTCTGAATATGAAATCCCTCTAGAAAACTAATTCACCAATGGAAGATGTTTTTTCAATAATTCTGGCTGCAGAAAAACTGAAAGTGTGATTTTCGGACCAACAGTGCTGGGCAACAGAAGACTTCTGTCTTTCCTTTTTTTTTTAACATATGCCTCATGTTCCTTAACGCGAAGTTTTAAGGCTTTCTCAGTTTGACCAATGTAAATTAAACTACACTGCAAGGAATCCTGTAAATACCCTAGGAATTCATATCCGGAATAGGATCCTTGAGTATGGAACTCGGAATTTTACTGATGAGAGAATAAACGACCCAAAATTTAAATTTCTGTAAAATACGTACATCCTTATAGCTATGTGAAGGAAAGAAGAGAATGACAACAGAACTCTTATAATCTCCTAAAGCAAGTGTGCATTTTGGTGTGTTGAGATGAGAATTTTTTAACTGCTTGATTAATAATGTTGGGTGAAAAGCCTCTGTCAATAGCTACTGCTTTTAAATAATTTAGTTCTTCATCAAGAGACAGTATGGAAGAGCAAACTTTAAGTTCACGGAAATCATAGGAATAAAATGAAGCTAACTTTTATTTAGTCGGATGACATGATTTGTAGTGTGGTGGAAGGCAAACCGATGAAGGTTGTACGGTAAACCGTTGTACTGTAGCAGCTGGGTTTCACCTCCAACTTAAGTGCACATTCATATTGCAAAGGAGGGTGGGGATTCGAGTGTAAACCGGTATATTCTACTTTTTTTTAAATCTTTAAAAGTTGCCTTACGCATTTTATTTCGAGTTTGTTTCTGTGTGTTCAGCAAGTCCAGCATTTGTTTCAAATTCTTTCAACACCTGAGAGTGAAATTTCCACAATTACGTACGTAGATTTGATCTAATTTCGAATTAGAAACTCCCACAAGAAATCCATGATGTTTTAACTATTTTGTAGAAGAAATGTGGCTGCAAAACATATACAACTATCTTAGCTTTTAAGGCTAGCAAAGGTCACATGACACATTACGTTAGAGAAATGGGTCAGACACCGGCCATCATCGAACAGCCCATACACGATTAGCACCAAAACTCCAGATCAAAATAATAGTAATGCGCGCAGGCCGACACAGACTTGACAATGCCCTGTCGGGAAAACACAAAGCAATGTAGAAATGGCATATTGCAATCATTTTATCTCCGCCATATTGTCCATTCCCAACATGTCCACGTTACCAGTTCTCAGCTCGGAGGAGAGGAGGTCAGGCCTGATTAGTCACATAAGTGCTTGGGCTCAAACAACAGAAAATACTGCTGGGAGAGCGTTGGTTCGTTCTAGAAAACCCTCGTCCGGTTGCGATGTCGATGTACATTTATGAATTCCGCGGCCCATACTCACTTCACACCTGAAGAAAACCATGAAAGCAGCCCATTCTTTAGGCTTCGAACCTGGGTAGCATTACGAGTATTCAGAGGTCTTAATCAATTCGCGTAAATAAAAGGAGAATATATTAAACACTTATAAACTTATTATATTATATGAATATTTTGTGACTTATAAGTGTCTTGGATTAGTTAAGGTTTTCAATTTGGAAGTAATGTTACTGAGATTTATTAGTGATAACTAATTAAAACCTGTTTATTTAACAGTAAAGTGTCACGAAGATGGACTTCTTCCTCATCCTGATAACTGCAGTCGCTTCATAGAATGTTCTAAAGGACAGTCTCGAACCAAGGAATGTCGATTAGGACATCATTTCAGTGAGACACAAAGGCGTTGTGTGGATGCTTGTAAAGCTAAGTGTGATTTAAGGCTTCGTAAGTATTCTAATTATTATAAAATGCATTCTAATATTAATCATTTTATGTTGATTTTGCCTGTCATCCCCGAGAATCATTCAATAATGTCACACGCCATTTATCGACGAGTTCAAATTTTCTAGAACAATAAATTTATTCTGATTAGTACTGTAGATCCAATCTTAATTACTAAATCATTTAGAAGTAAAATTTTTTCGAGCTTTCCAATCAAGACTTAAAAAAAAATCTGAAAGCGTTCATATTTTTATGTTACGCCGAAAGAGGCGTTTTTCCCCACTTACGCACACGTACACGTTTCAAGAGCATTTGAGCTAACGACTCTTTGGACTAAAAATATTTTAAAACAGCATATTTTTAGAATTTACGATAGACAGTCTGGAGATACAAATGTTTCTTTGCGTACAGCGTTTGCACTGCTCGCTTTAAAATCGCTAAGTTTCCTCCCCTGATGATCAACGTTCTCCATTTCTCGGTATATATCCGAGAATGCTGCCTACATGCAGTCAAGTCGTAAATTTGCAACCCCTTTTTTCACGGGGGAAACTGAAAAGGAGGGGCTAATCCTGCTCAGGGTAGTGAGAAAATGTAGGGGTAGTTTAAACATCTAACTTCTCTGCATTCAGTTTTATACAGAGGAAAATACACATTGAATTTTTCGAATGAATTAAATTTTGTACAATGAAAATGTATTACTGAACGATAAAGTGTAAGGCTATAACGTTGCGCGCCTCCAACTTGCACGCAACCAAGAGGTGACTGTGAAAACTTGTATAAAAGATAGAAGCTTGTGAAGGGTTTAAGTCCCTTTTAATTCAACGTAAGAAATTACAATTGCGTTCTCTTGACGCTACAGACGGTGCCAACTTGGCAGTCAAATAAAATAATAACCTAAAAGAAAATAAAGACAAGATTCTAACTACGAGGCTCTCTAAAATAACTAACTCACCGCGTTTTACAAAACCGCTGCTAATTCAGCAGACTTGAAGCTCACTGGAACGATGAGCACTACTTCCCGCCAAGCACATAGGCCGCAGCGCGGGGTTCTTCAATTCTCGCTACTACCTCCGCGCTCGCTAAGTAAGAGAATCTCTCACACCGAACGTGTTTCCTTCTATTTAAATCAGAATACTTCCGCTGATAATTTGAATCCTTGCGCGTTCTACTCAAATTTACATATTCTGGCATTGGCAGTTCCAGGGGAAAGTAGGCTTGACAGGAAAGATAGTTTAAACTTAAAATAAATGTTAGTTAAAATAATATAAACCTACAGGCAAATAACATCTTTTTATTCCTGTACAAAGTAAAAAGGAAGTATTGTAATCGCGAAAAGTTTCGGGCAGCATATTTCAACGAAAATATCCATTTTGATCGCTATCGAATGCAATTTAACGATGTTTTTGCGTGACATCTGTATACGTCTGTTTTTCACATACACATCGTCTGTGTCAAACACACATCGTCTGTGTTTTTGCGTGACATCTGTAAGGACAGAACAAAAGACTCTTTTCCTCCAAACAAATTATAAAACTTCTTTAAAAATTCTGAAGAAAACGTTTCGTGGCGTCTGTACGAACGTATGTACGTACGTACGTTTCTCGCATACCTCAAAAACGAATAGCCTCAGAACGTTGAAATTTTGTATATAGGACTGGTATAACATGTAGATGTGCACTTCGTATTTTGGTTGCAATCGGTCGCACCAAAAGTATATAAATATATTTAATTTTATTAAATATGAGCCCATTTTCCCTAGAAAATTCTCCATGAAATAATGCCTAGTGAAGCCTTATATGCTTTGTCATATTCAATTAAATAAGCACACAAATCAAAACTAGGATACTTTCCGTAAACAATTAGTGCTAATTAGCGCCGTTCAACCGGATTATTTGTTTATAGCAGTGCAGCCTCGTGACTTACGTGTATGCAGTGCTCAGGAAAATATATGTATTGCTCGAAAAAGGAAATTTCTAGAAGAAAATAATGTAATAATGAAATGCTAATAAAGAAATAAATATAATCCTTAAATTCATTTGATAACTATAATTTAATTTGCAATTATAAGGATATATATGTTACTAATAATACCAAAAAGTACATACCAATAGTATTAAAGGGTTTAATAATACATGAATACCAGCTGGAACCAAGCTATTCCGAGGCAGCACGCGTCATTCACATCAGTAGGTACAAGCCAATGGTAAGCTATTCAGCTTTTAAGCACTTTCACGTATTCGTAATAATTTGCCTTCTAGTCTGAGCAAATATACATAAATAAATCACGAGAAGACGGGACAGTGCTTAACTCACACAATCGTCAATAAAAGTTAAAATTTATTGTTGCATATCTAATTCATGAAATTCTGATATTTGTTTCAGATATTTATGGTAATGGTAATATTTATGGTAATGGTAATATTTATGGTAATGGTAATATTTATGGTATGATGTGAAAATGGTAATAAGTCATTCAAGGCTCATTTATTTTTCTAAAGGTTTTCAGAAGAATAAGAAACATGTTACACAAAGAAAATTTTCTCCCGTTATAAAAACTTTAAATTCTTTCGCATTTTTACTAAATTACGAAATGTGATTAAAATTACCCCATTCCGAAAGCCAAACTTATTTCATTCACTTCTGTAATTGGTACCAGGGCGCATTTTCTCAACAATAACTTGCACAACTAATTGTTGTGCTAATTTGAAACATTCTGCATAAACATCCATGCTAGTCATCTCTGTCATTTCATGAAAGTTTTGCTCCAAAATGATACGACATTTCACGAGCTCATATACCTAATTTGTGACCACCTACAAAAGCACATCATATCTCATTGGTAACTACCTGTATGCAGGACCATTTTCTAATAATCAGATGGCAATAATATCCCGTTTCTTAATACCTAATGAAATTATC